TCGGAGATGGGGCTAGCTGCACATGCCCAGAGAGGCTCTCAGGCCCTTGGGGGCGGGCTGTACCTGGTTGGAATAGGAGCTGTTCAACTTTGTTGCCCAGAGCTGGGCCTCCGTGCCCGTCCCGCGCAAATCACGGGAGAAAACCAGCTTTCTAGGAGGTGGGGCTAGCTGTGCATGCCCAGAGAGGGTCCCAGGCCCTTGGGGGCGGGCTGTGCCTGGTTGGAATAGGAGCTGTTCAGCTTTGTTGCCCAGAGCTGGGCCTCGTGCTCGTCCCACGCAGATATGGGAGAAAACCGGCTTTCTAGGAGATGGGGCTAGCTGTGCATGCCCAGAGAGGGTCCCAGTCCCTTGGGGGCGGGCTGTACCCAGTTGGAATAGGAGCCGTTCAGCTTTGTTGCCCAGAGCTGGGCCCCCGTGCCCGTCTGCCCCCCATACTGTTTTTATACAGAAGTTGAACCAGACAATATTCCCACAGATAGTGAGAGAGGGTTTCTTTTTCACGATACTGCTGTTAACACTCGTTGTCTCTAGTATCTTTGTTATGTAGGCATGAAATACTTTTAAGGGTTTGAGGTTTCAGATCTGAGGATCTATATACATATTCTACATATATATGTATATATAGAGAGAGAAGTGATGTTTTTTCTTTGTTATGAAGTATACTTGCATAGAAGTATAAGAAATAGCTCCAACATAGTTTTCTCACTAATCATACTTCTTCCAAAAGAATAGCACAAATTCACTTACTAGGTGTTGAAGTTTTGTGTATTTTTCTGAAAAAAGGAAATGTTCATCAATTATTCTACTTCCATTCAGTATAATAAGATTCCAACCAATTAAAGAGAGTTTGTATACATAGATATATAGACAAAAAGTAGTTAATATCAAGTTCACTAATTGTTGTTTTAAAGCTTACTCAAAGAGATTCACTACTTGCAGGACAAATCTAATTTCCAAAACTGAAACCATATGATGATTTACCTCTTCCATAAATGTATGATCTTATCTTCTTAGATTTACATTTGAAGCAATAAAACCTCTGGCAGCTGCTCCTGGTTGTCTACATGAAGAGGAGACAGGAGATAAGAATATTCATGCTTTTATTATTTTCTTAAACTGAAGATGTTAGGATGGGGTGGAAATGGTCAATACATCATGGTCATAAATGGCCAAGTGAGACACTTTACAAAGTAAGCCAGTTATTTGGAAGATATGGTAAATCTCTCAAGGCTCCATTTGCTAAACCCCATTAGTGCCTTTAAAGTTTAAAAAAGACCAAAACCAAATCCCCTGTGTTTAAAAATAGAGGACAACTGCACCTACTCATCAAGAAAGCAGTCTCTTCAATTTTAAAGTATTTGGGTGCGTGAAGTAGTACCCTGAAAGTTTCTCAGGGGTTGTTCCTGATGGTGCATAGGGAACCAGGCAGTGCCAGGGATTGATCCCAGAGTTCCCACACACAAAGCTAGTGCCACAGCCCTCTAAGTCATTTTCTGTGCCCAATTTTATTTTTATTTTATTTTTAAGCATTTTTTCAGTTGTACAATGTTCCAACACTAATCCCACCAACGGTGTTCTACTTCCCTGCACCAATGACCCCAGGTTCCCTTCCAGCCCATAGCCTGCATCCTGGACAGGCACATTTTAAAGTTTAGTTTATTGTAGTAGATTGGATTTTATGTTTAGAGTATTGCTGGCTCTGTAGAACACACACACACACACACACACACACACACACACACACACACACATTTCCACATCACTGATGTGCTCAAGGCCCCTGACCCAAATCCCTGTTTCCCATCCAGCTCTTCTTACTCCCCACTTCCTTGGTTTCTTTCCTTTCCTGTCCTTCTCATTTCTATGATCAAGGGTCAAGGGTATTCTTGGTGCCCTCCTTTGATACCTTGCATTCCCTCCCCCTGTTATTCTTCTATATACCACGGATATCTAAGCTCATCTGGTATTTTTGTCTTCTTCTGACTTACTTCACTCAACATGATATCCTCTAGCTCTATCCAAGTTGCACTAAAATGCATGATTTCAGCATTTCTTGCAGCTGCATAGTATCCCATTGTACATATATACAATACTTCCATTATATATTCATCTACTGGGGGTCTGGGTTGATTCCTATTTCCTAGATATTATGCTATGGGTTACAGTGAATAATGGTGTGCACATATCCTTTTGAATTTATAGTTTTGTGTCCTGGGGGTAAATTGCTGAATCACATGATAGCTCTATTTTTACCTTGAAAAAGTTCCATACTATTTTCCATAGGGGATGAACCACTCATCATTCCCATCAGCAGTGAATGAGAGCTCCTTTCTTACCACAATCCCATCAACATTGATTGTTCCCATTTTTTTTGTTGTGTGCCATTCTTACTGGTATCAGATGATATATCATTGTTGCTTTGATTTGAATTTCCCTGATAATAAGAGATGATGAACATTCTCTCATGTGTCTGTCAACTTCAGAGAAGTACCTTCATTTCCTCTCCTCATTTTTTGACAGTATTTGTGAATTTTTGTTGCTGTTGTTGGTCTTTGTGAGTACTTTTTACAGTTTGTATATTAATTCTGTTTTCTATATTGAGTGCAAATATTTTTTCCCATTGAGTGTCTTTTTTTTCTTTTTGGGTCACACCCGGCGATGCTCAGAGGTTACTCCTGACTTTGCACTCAGGAATCACTCCTGGCGGTTCTTGGGGGACCATATAGGATGCTGGGAATCGAACCCAGGTCGGCCACGTGCAAGGCAAACGTCCTACCCGCTGTACTATTGCTCCAACCCCATCCATTGAGTGTCTTTTAGTTTTAGCGTATTAGATGTGCATAAACTCTTTAGTTTGATAGAGTCCATTTGTATATTTTTGTTTCTGTTGCCTCTGCCAATGGAGCCATCTAATTACAGAAACCTTTAAGGTCCAAATCTTGGAGCACTCTGCCTACATTTTTCTCAATGTATTGCTACGGATTCTGGTCTGATCACAAGATCTTTGATCCACTTTGAATTGACTTTGGTATAGAGTGTGAGATATGGGTCCAAGTTTAGTTTTTTATATGTGGCTCTTTGGTTTTCCTAACACCATTTGTTGAAGAGGTTGTCAGTTACTCTACCCCTGTTCGATTTTAGAGTGTTTTAGGGCTTTGGAAAAATCGTTGCCAGAGACAGGCACACTCTCAGTGAGGGCATCAGCTGACTTTATCCTACCCCCGAGGAGCTCTCTAGAATTTCTTTTTTATTGTTTTTGTATTTGGGGCCATGCCTGCCAATGTTCAGGGCTTACTCCTGATCTGTAATCAGGAATTACTCCCGACAGTGCTCAGGGACCATGTGAGCTGTTGGAAACTGAACCTAGGTTGACTGTGTGCAAGACGAGCAAGCGCCCTACCTGCTGGGCTATCTTTCTTACCCCATCTCTTTAGAATTTCTTAGCAAGCTAAAGACTGCTTGATCCTCCACATGACTTGCATGGGATGCAGTGTGAAAACAGCACGATGGGGAGAACATGAACAGACACAGCCGGGCACATCCACCGGGACACTCCCTATCCTTCGAAATCTCAGTTGGGATCACCCAGGTGGGGTGTCTAGGATGATTATTAAAATTTCAGAATGTTCATAACACCCAAGATACGACATTGGGGTCAGTATAAGCTCATTCTATGGTCCTAAAACTCTTTGTACATTAATAGTTGGGTAAAAACTTCCAAAATTTATGATAGAATCTGGAAGGTGGGATTTTTATTACCTAATAAATAATATCCTAGAAGGTCATAATTACACATTAGCTACCATTCAAAATGTAGAAAGCATACAAGGTTGGGTTCAAGATAAGGATGAAAAATGTTCCGTGACATTTCTTTAGAATTATTCATTTTCTTTTTTAACCTGTAAGTGAAACATGAAACTTCCCCTAAATCTGAAAGGCCTTGAAGAAATCCATTGACAAGGCCATTTTTTTTAAGTCTTTAAAATCCAATTTAAGAAGTTTTCTATAGAATTTTGGAAGAAATATAAGTTTTCAGAATCTTAATACATAGAATCTCTAGAAATGTGTATCATGGTATTCATCTGCCCAAAAGGTCACTGAAATCATTCTGGGAAGAAATGCCCCCCAGTTTGGAAAGTCTTCATTGTTGAGTCACTTTGTCACTTTTTCTTTTAAAAAAAAATTTGGAGGCAGTGATGGTGGTGGTGGGCATGTGTGTGTGTGTGGGGGGGGGGGGTATACCTGGATGTGCTCAAGGATTACTTCTGGCTATTTGCTCAGGGGAGTTACTCTTGACCATGCTTGAGGAACCATGCTGTGCCAGAGAAATCCAGATGTGCTGTGCCCTACCTGTATTAGATCCTGGCACTAGAGTCACTTTTTCATTTAGGATCAAGATCAGTTTGTTGGCCAGAAATCCTTTCTTTTGGATCAAATCTTCTTTGGATAATATATTTTCTCCAGATACGATGGTTCAATATTTTTGTTATAATTCCCTTCCTGGGAGTAACTCTTTTCCAAACATACTTCTGTGTGAGTCTCTGCCCTAATCTTTTTTCTCCTTGAAGTCTATTACTATCTACCTAACTTCTTTTATCAAAAGAATGAAAAGTTTCTTTGAGCTTTCCCAACCTTTCATCTTCCTGGAAATTGCTGTGACTCTTCATTCTAAATTATCCCTCCAAATTCCTCCTCCTCTAAAAAATAAAAGATCAAGAAATACAGTAGCAAAGATGTGTTGAATGGCAACGAGTGATTCCCCTGTGTCTTGGCTTATGGAATTACAACAGGCAGAAAGAACACTGGTGAAGTCCAGCCACAGTGAAGTGGATCTCTCCAAGGATATTTTTGGCACCAAATACAAGGTCAAAACAGTATACACACCATGTGCTATTAGATCCTTCTAAGATTTGCTGTGTTGACACCCCTATTGTTTCCTTTTCCAGCAGGTTGGGCTAACATTTCCCATGTCAATTAAAATGAATTTTCTCTTTTGGCAGAGACCAGGTACTGCTACACTCAGCACACAATGGAAGTCACAGGAAACAGCATCTCTGTCACCAAACGCTGTGTCCCACTGGAGGAGTGCTTGTCCACTGGCTGTCGAGATTCTGAGCATGAAGGCCACAAGGTGTGGGAGACAAATCGAGTAACTCCTGGGGCAGTCAGTCCTTCCTCCCATTCTGATCCCTGCCAGTGCTCACTGTCTTCAGGCAATAGGAGAAAGAACAGGCTTTCTTTCCTCTTTGCTTTTAAGGAATGAAAATGTATACCAAAGCATAGAACAAATGGTACAAATTCTATAAACACAATAAGAGGACGGTCAAAATGATCAGAAATCCTTCACTCTGAATACTTTAAGAAAGAGCCTAGGAGAGCCAGGGAACCAGTCCTGTAATCTTGGTTCAAGCACACTGGAAATGTTCAGGTGACTCATTCAGCTGATGCTGGCTGAAGCAATTCAGCTTTGAAACCTGTCTGTAATATGGGGCTTCTCTTCACAAAAGAGACCGTTTGTGGGAAGGGACCTGTCAGCTTCTAGATGACAAGAGCACCATCACCTTAGGGATGTGTAAAGTCCATTCAGCGCCTGTATAGAAGTATTCAGTGTTAAAAGAATGCCAAGGTCAACCTTGAAAGAGAATATAAAGAATCAGAGCGGGGCTGGAGTGATAGCACAGCGGGTAGCGCGTTTGCCTTGCACGCGGCCGACCCAGGCTCGATTCCCAGCATCCCATATGGTCCCCGGAGCACCGCCAGGAGTAATTTCTGAGTGCATGAGCCAGGAGTAATCCACGCTGTGCATTGCCAGGTGTGACCCGAAAAGGAAAAAAAAAAAAAAAGGAAAAAGCAAAAGAATCAGAGCAAGGCAGCCTGACCCTGGTTGGAAGGAGGATGCCCCAGACTCCCTTTCTGTCATTCAGAGATGGCCATACACGTGACAAAATGTCAGGCCTCCGTCCTGACTTAGAGGCTTTGCTCTTCATCTACTTTCCTAGGGATTAGGTAGGTGCAGCTGCCCACACTCCACACCCGGAAACAACACTGTTAGTGGGCTTTTCTCTCAAACAAAACAGAACATAAGCTCAAGTGCTTTTTAGATACAAAGTGAAAATTTATGTGCATGGTGTTAGGTCGAGGTCTAAGCCCATTTTTGGTTGTCCAGTTATGCCAGCACCATTTGTTGAAGAGGCTTTCCTTGTTCCACTTCACATTTCTTGCCCCCTTGTCAAAAATTAGATGTTCATACATTTAGGGTTGTGTGTACGGATATTCCAACCTGTTCCATTGGTCTGCAGCCCTGAAATCTGGAAAAAACCCGAGTGCCCAAGAACAGATGACTGGTTAAAGAAACTTCCGTGCATCTATACAATGGAGTACTATGCAGTTGTTAGAAAAGATGAAGTCATGAAATTTACATATAAGTGATACTACATGGAAAGTATCATGCTAAACGAAATGAGTTAGAAAGAGAGGGACAGACATAGAAAGATTGCATTCATCTGGGGAATATAAAGTAACAAATTGGGAGACTAACACCCAAGAATAGCCTAGATAAGTACCAGGAGGTTCACTCCATGGCTTGGAGGCCAGCTGCACATGCTGAGGGAGAAGGCAACTCAGATAGAGAGGGGAGCACCAAGTAAAGGGTGTTGGGTGGACCCTCCCAGGATGAGAGATTTATGCTGAAAATAGACTATAGACCGAACATGATAGCCACTCAATGCCTCTTTTGCAAACCACAGCACCCAAAAGGAGAGAGAGAACAAAAGGGAATGCCCTGCCACAGGGGTGGGGTGGGATGGGGGGGGGGGGTGGGGGGGTGGGAGGGATGCTGGGAGCATTGGAGGTGGGAAATGGGCACCAGTGGAGGTATGGGTACTCAATCATTGTATAACTGAAATACAAGCACAAAAATTTGTAAGTCTACAACTCTACCTCATGGTGTTTCACTAATAAAAATTAAATATATATATCATAAAAAAGGTGAAAATTTAAAATGTAATATTTGCCTATTTGCTTCTGTTTTGAAATATAAAGGGTAAAGTCAAAGATTTTTCCTGAATCGCTGTCAAGTTAGATTTGTCAAGTCAGGTTCTCGGGCACTATTGTAACTACTTTATAGAAGTAGTGTAACTACTTCTATAAAGTAGGAAGCTACAGACCAAGAAGTGAGATGATGCACTTAGATTACACAGCTATTGCATGACAGACAGACTCTCAAACACACTGATTTCTAGTTTCTTTCCTCGAAAACTTATACTGTTTTCCTGGCTTCTATCAGTTGTGACCAAAGATGCAGATCTCTATAGAATAATGATTTCTCTGGGATATTACACATCGTAGAGTTTTCCCACACATCACTGTGCCCATGAGTCACTTGGGAATCATATTAAAATGCAGATTCTAATGGCCTGAGTCTAGGGTGAGGTTTGAGAGTCTGCATTTCTAGTAAGTTCCCTGTTGCTGCTGAAACTGTAGTCTGAACCCTAAGTAGCCCTGGTCTGAAAACATTTCTATTAGTAATCTTTTGGATTTCTTTCTTTCTTGTAAACCATAAGTGAAGCAACATAAAGTAGGTATAATTGAATAAATGAAAGCCTTTCAAACTTTAACTCACCCATGAGAATGGTGATAATTATGCAGACAGTTCTAATGAAAGTTAATATTTAGGTTTAAATGATAGAAGTTGTTACCTATTAATTTTCACTGTGAAAATCTGGCAAGTGAAAGTTTGCCTTCTTTATAATATTTTTTTTAAGTTGTCATAAAGAGCCTCTTTGAGCCAGTATCAGAGACAAAATTCAAGTTAACTGAATATTGTAGCCCACATTTCCCTAGTGAATTAACTAAGACCTCGCAAGGCTATAAAACTGTATTAACCACAAAAGTTTCATCTGGGGGTGCAGAGTGTTCATTATGACCACACTTATTCTAGCTACAACTTCATCCTACCACTTAACAACAACATTGGTACCTCCTCTGCAGAGTTCGGAACTGTCTTCTGAGTCTTTCCATGAAAAGAGAGGATTTAAAAAAATATATTAATAGCAATAGCAATTAATTAATTAATTAATTAAAAAGTCCTGCCTTCTTTGAGGACATGCCAGCTTCTCCTCACCCTGATTTTGCTTTCTTTCTTTCAGGTTTGCACTTCCTGTTGTGAAGGAAATATCTGTAATTTACCACTCCCACGAAATGAAACAGAAGCCACATTTGCCACAACATCACCCATAAATCAGACAAATGGGCACCCTCACTGCATGTCAGTGATAGTGTCCTGCTTATGGGTGTGGTTAGGACTCACTTTATAGCTGCTCCAAGGCACCCTCTGTAGAATGGAGCCACGGGATAACAATGGCCCACAGTCATGCATGAATCACCAGCCTGACAGTAATTCTACATTTGAACCACAACGCTTGAGGATGCTACCGAGCATCACCACTTATCATGGGGAAACAAGTGATGCTGCACTGTCAAGTTCATGACCTCATCAAAGTCAGACTGCCTCCAAAACAGACTCTGAGTTCTATACCACAGCCTTTGTTTTCATGCCAAGAACTGTTTCTTGAGATATTTTAGTTTGGAATCCAGGCATGAGCCACAAGAAGTCCTGGGGCCCTCTGAGATGTTAGGTGATGTTATATGGGCATGCATAGATGTGTGGATTTTCAGGAAAAAAAATGGTTACAGACCACTTGTTTAAATACAATCATAAATTCATCGATAACTTTAGAATTATTTTAATAATTTTGATTCCAAAATTAATAACCTGCTTCCTTGGAGACTCTGACTGAATCTCTAGAAAAGTAGAGAACAATTTGTCCAATATCTTTTTTTCCAACACCCTTCTCCCAGTTGTAGAAGTTATATTTTCTCTCCTCTGTTTAGAAGATTGAAAAGGCAAACAGACAAACTTATTATGGGAGAGGGGTAGCTAGAAGATTTTTCCAACTTTATGTAACTAGCATCCATAAAGTGTCTTTTTATCCCATCCTGTAATTGATGATATTGGCCTTGACTTGGCACCTTCATGTGCTTCATGAGATTCTGGTTTCTATCCAGACCAATGGGCATTCAAGGAGTTCCAAAACCAGATGGAGGTTTTTTTCTCCAGTTATGGAACTCCATCCAGGCATAATTAAATATGAAAGAGGAATTCAGAATTGAAAGAAACTATAAGAATTGGGTCTGCCTCATTTGGACAACCCTATAAATAGCTCAATCAGACCTCCTTTCATCTGCAATTTATACTGCCAAAGAACCTTCCCCTTTTCCTACTTCTAATCCCCAATGACTTTTAGAAAGAAGGTTCTACATTAAATTGTCTCAAGACTAATACGAAAAGAAGACAATATTATTTTAGAATGAGAAGTCAATGGATCTATCGGGAGATTATAAGACCAGTAAGGTGATGCAGAGGGAAGTTTTTTGTTCTTTTAGATGATTGATTTTGACATAAATGGTAAAATTGTCACTCTCCTTCCTATATTTCTGTCACCCAAGTTACAATTCTTTCCTCAGAAATCATTTATACAGTATTTATTTTTGTATGGCATAAACTAGAAACTAAAATCTATTATAAAAGCTCTTTATTCTGAACAAAATGGTCAAATTAGAGTACTTATTTTTCAACAGTGGTAGAGCTTGTAATATATGTTCAAAGTTATCTATAATACGTGCACCAGTGTTGAAAAGCTTACCTTATTTTGTGAGCTAGAGTCATGAGGAGACCTCGAGGTTGTCGCTGGTGGTTCTCTTCAGTGATACTATTCCAGAAGAGTAGAGGTGGTGACCATTTCAGGTATGAGTTTCTCTGCAGGGTTATGGGGTGGTGTGTTTGTATTAAATTTGACAAAGTCGATTCTGATGAACTGTAGTGTGTCATCAGGTCCATCTGTGAGCATAAAATGCATCTCTGTATCATAAAATGAGACCCTCCTCAGGGACCAAATATGCATGGACAGCTATAACTCGGATCCAGAAGACTAAAATGTATCCAATGGCCTTAACTCAGAGTTCTGTAGGTTTATCAATACGTTGAGTAGAATGGGGTGGAGGGAGTAGAGGGAAAGTAAAGCAAAACATTTATTAAGCACCTCCTCTGTGCCAGGCACTATGCTAAGCACTTTACATAAGTTAGGTCGTATAGTCTCTGTAAGAGTCTTGTAAGGAATGTTATTGGTATTTACATGTTACACATGAAGGTACTGGGGCTCTAACATGCTCAATAGCATTATGCATTTTTGTTCCTATTTAGATTATATGGGATGAAATGGATTGAAGAGAAAGAACAGGTAGAGTGACCACACTTAGGGAAGCTTTCAGGCCTTATCTCATGGACAAATGTCCAACCTTTTCATATGAGTTTGTCTAGTTTGTCTTGTTCATTCAAACTTTCCATGCAGGATGCTATTTGCTTGTGTTCTGGAGGATTTTTTTTAATTTGAGGAGAGGTGGTACAACTTCCTTATTCATTCTTCTTGCTGGAAGAGGAAACAAGATGATCCTGCATTTGAAAATGCTAGAAGACAGTGAAGTTTCGTTGTACATAGCTACAAGTACTGTTTTTGTGCATGGCCACTCTCCACTGACATCTTCCAAGTACTGCATGTGATTTGAATAAGAGACAAAATGCAAATGTTGGCTCTGGACATGAATGGGACCTTTCCAAAGCCTCCTGGCTGCTGTGCAGGGACCTGGTCCATGGGGGTGTGGACTCATCTGGGCCCCCTAAGGTCACTGCAAAGCCCTAGTGAATGTGGCTGTGCACTGTGTGTATCTGGCAGAGTTGATGCTGTTTCATTCTCTTGAAAGAAAGTGGTCTGCTTGCCAGGTCCAGCCTCAAGGAGCCCAGGGAGGGCCATTCACTGGAAGACCCAGAACTGGTCAGTCATTTGATCTTTCTGTCACATCAAACTTTCCATTTAATCCCGCCATTGGTGACAGCTCGGGGCTCAAGAGCTGTGATGTGTATATTAACCTATGTGCCACTTATTTATTTTTAGACACCCTACAGCATTCTTGTCAATGTGGGATTAATGCCTTGTAAATACTGTAAATTTTGTAAATCAATGAATAAAGGTTTTAAGTGAATCTCGCTGGGCTCCAATCTGCAATTGTGTGTGTTAATCAATGAGTAAGTCACCCAGATTATATATGAGGGATTGGGCATAGTGTCACAGAGAATGTCTTTCAGGAACTCATGTTCTAATTCTGCAAATAAGAAATGTATGCATGAAAAGATATAAGACAACTAACCCATATAAAATGATTCACAGAGTAAGTGCAGTAGAAAATCAAAGAAGGAATGATTACCAGACTCTCTCTGATGGTCTGATGGGTGTGCAGTTTCCCTGAAAACCTTTTCTTTCCTTTTCTTTGTTGTATGAGAGAGAGAAGAGAGAGAGAGAGAGAGAGAGAGAGAGAGAGAGAGAGAGAGAGAGAGAACTACAAGTACAGCCATAAAATTCTATTTTAAATTTTTTCTCTATTCTTAGGGTGCACTATGTTACTGATGGTAGCATGAAAGCATTTTCCCCCAATGGCTTTTTCAACAAGAAACAATATTTGAATACCATAAGCATAGTTTTCATCCGGATAATGTCATCATTTGACTTTTTTCTTAGTAACATAATAGATACTGAAAATGACATTTCAAAACTTTGCTTGGGGATTAAAGAAATAGTACAGCAGGTAAGATGCTTGCCTTTCACGTGGCTGACTTGGGTTCAATCCCCAACAACCCAAGCCCCACTAGGAATGATCCCTGAGTACAGAGCCAGTAATAAGCATTCATGAGCATCAGCTGATGTGACTCTAAAGAGTAAATGAAACTTTTGCTTCCGTCCAGAAAAATAATTCAGGGGTAAGGCTCTTGCCTTGCTTACAGCTGACCCTATTTTGCATGCAGCTAGCACCATGTATAGTCCCCTGAGCACTCCTACAGTGATCCATTCCTGAGTAAGTGATCCCAGGAGTAATGCCTCACCACTGCTGCGTGTGGCCCCAAAACCATAACAAAAATTAAGACTTGCTTTTAAAAAAAAAATTGAATGGAACTCTAGCTCTGTATAGTTTTTAATTTGGGAGAAAATACATATTTTCTCCAGAATTGGATGTTTTCCATTAGGTTCTGGATCAGTGGCATAGTTGGCAATCCTTAACAGGTAACCACATGCAGACTGCTCTTATCACCAGCCTCTGTGAATAGCTGTGTGTTTAATGGAAACAGCACTTCAGATAGACTGCTTTTAGGAAATAAGATTTTTTGGAAACCTATAGTAACACAATTTGTGTATATAAAAAGGCTTAATTATAAACAAACTTTGCTTCACTTTTCTAACATTTGCCAATTTTTTTTTACATTCTATTTTTATTTTGTTTATATTTTATTTTTATTTACATGTAGAGCATCCCTGGTGTGTAAAGCTAGATGTACTCACTTGGTGACATTATGACATTTCTCTGAAATAGTTAAAGATCTTTCACAAATGTTTGCTATATGTTTCCCTTTAACGTACTCTTGAAATACAGGAAATCTGCTTGGGTACCTGTTATTAATTAGTGTTGCACTGGGGAGAATTTCACCTTCAATATTCAGCCCTTCCCAATCAAGACTTGCTTGCAATTTGGAGGCAATACAAAGGCTTGAACCTCACAGATTAATCTAGCCTGGTGTCTTGTCCTCTAGTACCTCTGGAAAACAGCTATTTGTTTTGTGTGTGTGTGTGTGTGTGTGTGTGTGTGTGTGTGTTTTATATGAAAAGTTCTAACTTGTAATTTGCTACTATAAAACCAAAGCAGATTTTCAAAATATCTTTAAAATCAAGCCCTCGTTTTCAGTAGTTACTCTCAGCTAATTTTAAAATCATGGCTTTCCCATTAGCAAATTGCTGCTGTCTTGCTGTTATCTTTGGTAAATTATAACCCCATTGCAGTTTCTCAAATTAGAGGAGTGGAGAGGAGGGAACCTCCATGTAACTATTTAAAGCTGACTAGAATTGCAAAAATCCAGAGGCTGATAAATGATTTCGTTGGCAGTCCTTTTTTTCTTTCCTAAAAATGACTCCTGGTCCTTGTATATGTTTTTATTTTTGAAGCACTTTTAGCTATGTTACGTTTAGCAGATCAACATGACCTCACTTAGAGCATTTGTAGTCAGAACTCGGCAGTGGTTAAGGAAGGTCCTGTTGCTACTTTATACCACACAGACTTATTCCTGCTTCATGACGCTGTTTCACACACATTTTTCACAGAATGATAAGCATGACGACTCCGTGCTTCTCCCTGGTAGTGATGTGGGCAAGTAGACAAGAGCCTCACAGCAATGGAATTCCTAAGATATAATAAAACTGCCTAGCCTTCAAGCCATCAGGGGCCACCTTGTGAGCACAGGAACTAAGTCCTGATGAGATTTTTCAAGACTTTCCTCTAGCGCTAGCAATAGAGCCAGAGAAGGCTGGACCCCGCTTCCAAAGGCCAGGGAAGGAATGTCAAAGAAGACCAGAGACCACGCTCAACTCAACCCGCTCTGGCAACCTCCCTAAGCAACGGACTTTAAGCTAGGTAGAAGCTCCACATGGGGGAAGGTTGGGAATACCCTACAAAGGCCACCTTGAACAAAGAAAGAGCATGCAGATGCTCCGGGAGCCCATACGCTGCTTGTGCCCACATATCCAAGGACATGTGGTGCCCGTGTGCATGTGTCATCCACATCTCTTCTTTTGAGATGTGTACTTTCATATCTAATGGTGGGATGTGTAGGGGTTCTCTCTACCTTTGGAGAAGCCAGCATTTTCTCTTGAGTGCGTTTCTCACTGTCTCTGTCTCTCTCTCTGCCTGTCTCTCTCTCATCTCATCTCTCTCTTATCTCTCTCTCTCTCTCTCTCTCTCTCTCACACACACACACACACACACACACACACACACTTTCTCTCCCTCCTTCCTCTTCCTAAAAACTTCCAAATAAAATCTGTTCTTAGTTTACTGCCTGCCTACTGAAATTCTTTTCTGTAAGGTGAGACAAGAACCTGGTAACCCTGGTTCTGGGAGTGGCAAGAGTTTAGGATAACACTGTTTTGTCCTTCCTCAGGCAGCTTAGGTTTATCTGGTCACACCCATTCCAGTGCTCCCAAGTCACTCCCATTCTTTTGTTTATTTGTAACTACTTCTCTATGCTCTCTTCCCCAAACAGTTAATCAGCTTATTCCCCTAATCAGTTTCTGTTAATTTGTAAGGTCAGATCTTTCTAGGATGGACACTGAATTTATATTGTAAATTAATACTGCCTTTCTCCTCTCCTTATGTCTTTTGAATAGTTTACTTTAAAGCAATGTCCTTTTGTATCAACACAAGAAGACAATTAATATTATGCTTGGGATTTAATTGGCTTCGAATATTTTTCATTCCCGGGCATCTGCTTTCTCAACTTAAGCCTCAGTTGCCCTCACTTCCTAGCACCCCCAAAAGCAGGGTCCCGACGAGGGATTGGATGGAACCAGGGCAAGCAGTAAGCTATGTGCTACCCTGGCATCGAAATGGGCCTGGCCAAAGCACCATAATTCTTAACCATAAGTTAAGAGCTTGAGCATGACAAATGCTGTCATGATCCAAAAGTAACGACGAGACAAGAACCTTGCTAGGAATAGGAAAGACTAATCTGGCCTGAGCACTGTAGTCTGAGATCGGGATGACCTCAGGAGAGCAATTCTATAAGCTTAAAGCATCGCTTACTGTGCCCATATAAAATTATTAATATTATGAATGCTTATATGTTTGTTGGACAAGGAGAGGAGAACCACACCCATGGGATTCCACCCTCCACCCGTGGGTGGGTGGTCCTGCTGAAAGAGAATCTGTCTTAAAAGCAGCATCCCCTGAGGGTAAGAACTTTACCCCTGTTGACTGTGACCACAACTATGTGTAAGCCCAGCTGAGAGAGAAGATCGAGAGCCAGAGCCAGGAAAAAAGGGTTCCAGATCGGGGCCCAGGAGAGGAGAGGAGAGAGAGAGAGAGAGAGAGAGAGAGAGAGAGAGAGAGAGAGGAGTGAACTGGGATGAGAATGGAATAAATAGCATCTGATCAATCAACTGGCTTGGCCCTCGCTTCCTCCACCATCTGCCCCAGGGCCCAGGCCCCCCAGAACCTGGGAGGCCAGGGGAAGAGCCATCAGGGTCATCCCCTGGCCGCCCTCGGAGTTTTTTCAGCAGAGGAAAATTGGGAGAAAGTGACCGTCTCTCTCCTCCCTGCCTAACATAAGCCACCCCTGGGGGACACAAACTTCAATAGGTGAATAACCCTTAGGAAAAAAATCTTAGTCTACCCCTATTGTATTAAGAACTCCAGGGAACCCGGCATTTGGCTCTATGAAAGTCATGTTGGTTATGTTCAAGCAAAGATAAAGCATCCAAATTTTCCTTTCATGATCCAAGTAATGAGGACCAGCAGATGAGAAACTGGATAGACATCTCCTTTTCCTTTGTAGTCACTGTGGGACTGGCGGAACCATGATGACACCAGTGTTTGTATACATGAGTAGTCACAGGATACTTACAGCTTGCTCTCCACAGAATTTTTAGAACTATCACTCATCCCTTCCTCCCGCCTTTCCCCTTGAAATGTTCCTATAAGCTCTGTTAAGTGTTAAAGTAGGAGACAACCATAAATAGAGGAAAAGAACAAACTGATATCAGCTCCCGCATGGCATCCCTGAAGGACAACTTTTTGGTGTTATCTTAAATTTTACAAAGAACAGATCAGCCTGGTTCAGTGACTTCATTAAATCCTAATTCAGCAAGATGCTCTGTGATTTACCTCATTCCGTCTGCCAGCTGACTGTGCTTTTCTGTTTTTCACCCTCTTCCTCCACCAGCCCTAATAAACTATACGCCTCAGCTTGGGAGTAAAATGTTTTGAGGGACAAGTCCACCATCTTCTCCATTGCTAGCACCAGAACAAATCTGTTTTACTGCACCAACTCTCATCTCTCGAGTATTGGCATCTGAGGGGTGTGACACCAGATTTGGTGACATAGGGAAGGGCAGAGAATAAATTTGGAAAGGGCAAAATTTCTCAAAGAAAGCAGGTTAGTCTGA